TCCCTACCCATGGATCAAACCTGGGTCTCCTGCATTGCAAGTGGATTCTTTACCATCTGAGCCACTAGGGAAGTCCACAACATAATACACATTATTAAGAGAATAAATGGATTGAAAGCAGGAGGAGAAGGGGGCAACAGAGGATAAGACAGTTGAATGGCATCACCTACTCAGTGGACATGAGTTTAAGCAAACTCTGGGAGATAGTGAAGGACAGGGAAGCCTGGCGAGCTGCACTCCATGGGGTCACAAGAGTCAGACACGACTTAGCAACTAAACAACAAGAGAATAAAAGACAAAAACCACATGATTAGACATGGAAAAGGCGTTTGGAAAACCTCAATACACTTTTTAAATAAAATCATTAAAAAATGTAGGAATAGAATGGAACTTTCTCAACCTAATAAATGCTCTACAAAAACCCATAGTTAACGTCAATGAAGAAAGACTGAAAACTTCACCACTAATAGCAGAAACAAGACAAGAACGTCCTTTCGCCACTTCTGTTCCACAATGTACTAGAGGTTCTAACCACGGAAATTAGATATGAAAAATAAATAAAAGGTATCCAGATTAGAAAGAAGTAAAACTTTCTCTCTTTGCAGGTGATATATAAAGAAAAGCTTAAGAAATCCACAAAATAAACTGTTAAGAGTTAATGAAGAGTTCAGAAAGGCTGTAGGATACAAGATCAGTTTACAAAAATTAACTGTGTTTCTGTATACACAGGGTAATGAACAATCCAAAAACAAAAAAACTTCCATTTGCAATAACATCAAAAAGAATAGGCAGGAATTAAATATAACAAAAGAATTATGACATGTACAGTGAAAACTACAAAACATCATTGAAAGAAATTTTTAAAGATCTAAACAAATGTAAAGATATTTCATATTCATAGATTGGAAGACTTAACATAGTCAAGATAATCATAACAGTCAATTTTATATGTCAGTTTGGCGAGGCTATAGTTTCTACTTATTAAATCAAATATTAATCAAGGTGTTGCTATGAAGGTATTTTTTAATAAATACGATTATTATCTATAAACAGTTAACTTTAAGCAAAGGTGATTATCTTAAATAATTTGGTGGACCTGAATCAATCAGTTGAAAGTCCTAAAAATATAACTGAGGTTTCCAAGTGGAAAACTGATTTCCTGGTGGCTCAGTGGTAAAGAATCTGTCTCCCAAAGCAGGAGACGCAGGTTTGATCCCTGGGTTGGGAAGATCCCCTGGAGAAGGAAATGGCAACCCACTCCAGTATTCTTGCCTGGAAAATCCCATGGACGGAGGAGCCTGGTGGCTCCCATGGACAGAGGGCTACATTCCATGGGGTTGCAAAAGAGTCAGACATGGCTTAGTGACTAAACAATAACAACATTCCAAGTAGAAAATATTCTACCGTGGTCTTCAGTTTCTGCTGATATCCCAGGGTTCTACCCTTCCCTTTAGACATCCTGGCCTACAGAGTTCAGATTTGCCTAGCCAGCCCACACAATTGCATGAGTCAATTTAGGGCTGTGTGTGTGTGTGTGTGCATGTGTGTGTGTCTTGTCAGTTCTTTTTCACTATAGAACCCTAATTGATATAATGGTTATACCTCTTAAATTCTCTACAAATTCAACACAATCTCATTCCAAATCCTTGCTGGCTTTTTTTTGCAGGAATTGACAAATTGATCCTAAAAATTGTATAGAAATTCAGGAGACTCAGAATACCCCGAAAGATCTTGGAAAAAAAAAAATTCGGAGGACTCACATTTTCCAATTTCAAAACGCACTACAAAGCTACAGTAATCAAAACAGTGTGATACCGGCATGAGGACAGACATTATAGATCAGTGGGAAAGAACTGACAGTTCAGAAGTAGACCCACACACTTATGAACAATTGACTTCCAACAGGGTGTCGTGGCAGTTCAATGGGGGAAGAATAGTCTTCAACAGCTGGTTTTGAGACCATTAGATATTCATGCACAGAAGAATGAAGCTGGCCCCTTGCTTCACACCGTATACAAAAAATCAGTTCAAAATGGATCAAAGATCTAAAAGTAAAAGCTAAAACTATTAGAAGAAAACAGGTGTAAATCTTTGTGAGCTTCAATTAGACACTGGTTTCCAGGATATGGCATCAAAAACACAAGCAATTAAAGAAAAAAATTGATTGAACTGCATCAAAAAACTTTTGTGCTTCAAGTGAAAGCGCTCAGTCGGGTCTGACTCTTTGCGACCCCATGGACTATACAGTCCATGGAATTCTGCAGGCCAGAATACTGGAGTGGGTAGCCTTTCCCTTCTCCAGGGGATCTTCCCAACCCTGGGATCAAACCCAGGTATCCTGCACTGCAGGCAGATTCTTCACCAGAAGAATCTTCACCAGAATCTTTCCCAGCTCAGCCACAAGGAAGCCCTTGTGCTTCAAAGGAAAGTGAAAATAGAATGGGAGAAGATATATATAAATCACATATCTGCTAAGGGTCAAGTTTATAGAATATACAAAGAAGTCTTATAGCTCAACAATAAAAAGACAAATAATCCAATTTTAAAATGGACAAATGACTTGAATAGACATTTCTCCATAGAAGATACACAACGGTCAATAAGAAACATGAAAATTTGCTCAACATCATGGTTATAAGGAAATGCAAACAGAAAGCACAATGAGATACTATTTCATATTTACTAGGATAGCTATAATCAAAAAGACAAAATAAGTGTTGGTGAGGATGCAGAGAAACTGCAACCCTCATACATTGTTAGTGGAAATTAAAATGATGCAACCACTTTTGAAAACAGTTTGGCAGTTCTGCAAAATTCCACTCTACATATATACCCAAGAGAATTAAAAACATGTATTCACATAAAATGTTGTATGGAAATATTCATTGCAGCCATATTCATAACAGCCCAAAATGAAAACAATACAAATGTCCAATTGATGAATGAATGAATAAACAAAAATATGGTATATCCCTATAACGGGATATTCTTCCACATAAAAATTAATGAAGTACTGGGTGTGTGCATGCTCAGTCACTCAGCTGTGTCCAGTGCTTTGCAATCCTATGTACTATAGCTTGCCAGGCTCCTCTGTCCATAGAATTTTCCAGACAAGAATACTGGAGTGAGTTGCCATTTCCTCCTCCAGGGGATCTTCCTGACCCACACGGATTGAACCCTCATCTCCTACATCTCCTGCATTGGCAGGTGGGTTCTTTCCCACTGAACCACCTGGGAAGCCTCAATGAAGTACTGATACATGCTAAACCATGGATGAACTTTGAAAACATTATGCTAAATAAAAGAAGCCAGTCACAGAAGGCCAGCTACTATACGATTCCATTGGGATGAAATGTCCAGAATAGGCAAGCCCACAGAAACAGAGTAAATTAATGGTTAGAAGGGGCTGAAGGGAGAGGAAGTGGGGAGTGACTGCTAATGGACCAGGTGTTTCTTTTGAGGGTGAAGAAAACGTTCTGGGATTAGACAGCAGTGATAGTTCTACAGCTTCTGAATATACCAAAAAGACAACTGAACTGGATATTTTTAAAGGGTGAACTTTATATGTGAATTGTATCTCAGTTTTTAAAAGTACAGTGAGAATTTGAAGTTCCTAAGAGTGTTCCCCCAAAAGATATAAGGGGAAGGAGGTGGAAAGGACAAGTGTTGCTAAGGCAATGAGAATCAGGGGCTTCTGTGTGGGTGTGGGGTGGTGGGTGAGAAATGTTTGTTTTGCAGGATAACTAATGAGATGGAATCAAAGACAGAGGTCAAAGAGAACTCGGGAAGGGGCCTCGGGGAAGGAAGGAGGAGGGGAAAGGTATGAAAAGAACTAAGACGGAAAAGAAAGGCTCTCCTCAGAAGGGAGAGGACCCTGGGGAGGGATCTGGTGGCCCAAGGACTCAGACCGGATAGAAAGCATGTTTGAGGAAGACAGTTCTCCTGGGCAAAAGAATGAGAGAAATAGATTTTTCTTAGGAGCCACCTTGAAGTATATTCTTGTATCCATTTAAGATTCTTCCAAAAGCTCTAATAAAGACACAAAACTCTTTTGGGGCCGTGCTTCCTTGAACAGCACAACTCAGGCCAGAATGTGAATATGAAACTCCTGGAGGATGCACTCTATCTAAACTATTAAGAGTCCTAATTGATGGAATTTTACTGCCTAAGTCATTTAGAAGCAGTTTCTGGACTCACTGCTCTTCTGAAGGTGAGCAAATCAATCTCACTTACTAAATGTGTCAGATGTGCAAAATGACAAAATCAGAAATACAGATGAACTGACTCCCCGACAGGCCTGGCTGGAAATTCAATCCACAGCCTCTCCATCCTAAATTCATTGCGTTTCCACCCACTCTTTCTTTAAAATTGCTCAGTAAAATGTTGGACCACATTCCCCAAAGTCTCAAAGGTCTGCACATCCAACATCCATTTTAAAAATATGTAAGACATGGGCCTTTTTCTTTTCCTGTATTCAAAATATAGAGTTTATGCTTTTTATATATGGAATCTAGAAAAACGATACAGATGACCCTATCGGCAGGGCAGGACTGGAGACGCAGACATAGAGAACAGACATGGAGACACCGTGGGAAGGGAAGGGAAGGGTGAGACGAACCGGGAGAGCAGCATTGACGTACATACACTCCCATGTGTAAAACAGACAGCTAGTGGGGGGCAGCTGTTTAACACAGGGGCTCAGCTCTGCGCTCCGTGATGACCTCGAGGGGTGGGAGGGAGGCTCAGGAGGGAAGAGATACACGTATACATACAGCTGATTCACTTTGCTGTATGCAGAAACTGACACAACATTGCACAGCAATCATATTTCAAAACGAAACAAACCAAAAAATATGCTCTTGTAATTAGAGGATGTAAAAAATTGTGTTTCTCCTTTGTAGTCACAGTGTCAATCATGAGAATTCACACTTGTGTGTGTGAGGATTTCTCGTATGTGATAAATGACTTCATTTTTGTATTACTGGTTATTTGCTTTTCAGATACATTACAATTGTGGGAAATATCTATTAGTTGGTATTTATCAATATTTTGTTGGAAGGGCTGATGCTGAAGCTGAAGCTCCAATACGCTGGCCACCTGATGCAAAGAGCCAACTAGTTGGAAAAGACCCTGATGCTGGGAAAGACTGAAGGCAGGAGGAGAAGGGGACGACAGGATGAGATGGTTGGATGGCATCACTGACTCTATGAACATGAGTTTGAACAAACTCCTGGAGTTGGTGATGGACAGGGAAACCTGGTGTGCTGCAAGGAGTCAGACACAACTGAGTCACTGAACTGAGCTAAACTGATCAATATTTTAGGGATTAAAATGATTGATTAAAGTGATCAGTGTTTTCAGGAATATAAAGGAAGCACTTGTGCTCTGAAGACAGTGAAGACATCTAACAGATCCTTGGCAAGAAAACAGTAAACAAGAATTTGGGGCCACCTATTACTGTCATTTGTTTCCTGTGAGTTTACCAGTCAACTCTTCTCTTTTACCTAAAAGCAGTTCCAAACGCTAAAAAAGGCAAGGGGGGAGTATAAATGCAAGCTAATGTTACAATAAAAAGATCACCACTTAGACTGTGTCTGTGGTTCATCTTTGCTTTTGAAGTCTTCTTATCCTAATCCTAACCTGTTCTCTTTCTCCATGATCCACTCCAAAAAGCTCACTCCTGATGTTTGCTGTCTACCTCTCACAGGAAAGGGCTCTCCGCTTCGTTCTGCTCTCCCATCTCCAGAAAATGTAGCTGTAATTCCCGTTTCCACCCCTGTGTATCACTGTGGTGCTCTGGCTGGCAAAGTCCCTTATTTTTCAACAGAGAAACGATCTTGCATATTAAGTACAACCTTCACATTATCCCAGGCAGCTTGAGTTGTGCACAAATAACTTGTTATTAATAAAAATTTAACAGCTCTGATATAAAATTATTCTTTCAATAATTTAGAGTGGATTTAATGTTAGCCCTGAAATAATGTCTTCTGGGGTTTTTTTTTTGGCCACACCTTGCGACATGTGGGATCTTAATTCCCCAACCAGGGATTGAACCCAGGCCCCCTGCATTTGAAGCATGACTCTTATCCACTGGATCACCATACCTGGTCCAATGTCATTTTTTTTTAATCAAGAGATAATGATTCACCTTAGCACATGGAACTCTGCTCCGTGTTATGCGGTAGCCTGGATAGGAGGGAAGTTTGGGAGAGAATGGATACTTGTATATGTATGCTTGAGTCCTCTTTACTATTCACCTGAAACTATCACAACTGCAAGGAGATTCATCAGTACCATCTTCATAGATTCCGTACATATGTGTTAATATATGATATTTGTTTCTCCTCTTTCCCACTTACTTCACTCTGTTTAATAGGTCCTAGATTCATCCACCTCGTTAGAACTGAGTCAACCGCGTTCTTTTCACGACTGAGTAATACTCCATTGTGTACATGTACTACAGCTTCTTTATCCATTCATCTGTTGATGGACATCTAGGTTGCTTTCATATCCTAGCTATTGTAACTAGTACTGCAATGAACACTGGGGTACATGTATCTTTTTCCATTATGGTTTCCTTGGTATAGGCCCAGTAGTGGGGTTGTTGGTTCATAAGGTAGTTTACTCCTAGTTTTTTAAGGAGTCTCCATACCATCTTTTATAGTGGCTGTATCAATTTACATTCCCACCAACAGTGCAAGAAGGTTCCCTTTTCTCCCCACCCTTACTGGCATTTATTGTTTGCAGGTTTTTTGATGATGAGTATTTTGCCCAGTGTGAGGTGATATCTCAGTGTAGTTTTGACTTGCATTTCTTCAATAATGAGTGGTGTTGAGTATTTTTTCATGTTTATTAGCCAACTGTATGTCTTCTTTGAAGAAATGCCTGTTTACGTCTTTTGCCCACTTTTTGATTGGTTGTTTGATTTTCTGCTAGAGTTGCATGAGCTGCTTGTATCCTTTTGGAAATTAATCCTTTTCAGTTGTTTCATTTGCTATTGTTTTCTCCCACTCTGAGGGTTGTCTTTTCACCTTGTTTATAGTTTCCTTTGCTGTGTCACTACATTGTTCATTGTCTCTGTTGTTGTTCAGTCACCCAGTCACTCTTTGTGATCCAATGAACTGCAACACGCCAGCCTCCGTGTCCCTCACCATCTCCCGGAGTTTGCCCAAGTTCATGTTCATTGCATCGGTGATGCCATCCAGCCATCTCATCATCTGATGCCCTCTTCTCCTTCTGCCTTCAATCTTTCCCAGCATCAGGGTCTTATTCCAGTGAGTTGGCTGTTCACATCAGGTGGCCAGAGTATTGGAGCTTCAGCTTCAGCATCAGTCCTTCCAAAGAGTATTCAGGGCTGATTTCCTTTAGGACTGACTGGTTTGATCTCCTTGCTGTCCAAGAGAATCTCAGGAGTCTTCTCCAGCACCACAGTTTGAAAGCATTGATTTTTTGATGCTCTCTACTTCTTTATGGTCCAGCTCTCACAACTGTATGTAATCGACTATACCTCAATACAAAACAGAAACGTTTTCTTTAAAAAAAGAAACACCTTCTCAATTAAAAAAAAAAAAGTTGGCTTAAAATGAAGAGGAGAGTTAACTACTGTCTCACCACTCATCAAGAGCCCACGATACAGTTGACCGTTGTGGGAACTTCAAGTTATACACATGAGGTGTGGTTTTATAGTTTCTGTTGTTCCCTTTTGAATTTCACTCTGGGATATAGTTTCAATAAGAAAGACATCAAGTACAAGAAAAGGATGTGTCAGCAGTCCCTGCATCACCAGGGTGTATGTGTGTGTGCACGCGTGCACACGCATGCTCAATCGTGTCCAACTGTTTTGCGACCCCATGGACTGTAGCCCACCAGGCTCCTCTGTCCATGGGATTCTCCAGGCAAGAACACTGGAGTTCTTTCAACATTCCCTTCTCCAGGGGATCTTCCTGGCCCAAGGATCAAACACATGTCTCCTGCCTTGCAGGCAAATTCTTTACCTGAGCCACCAGGAAAGTGCTTCTCTACAATGTATCACCTTTTAAAAAATGGTATATAAGCTCTGAAGCCTAACTATGTCTTTAAGGTTCTGTTTCTTTCCTGTGTAGCCCATGTAACATGAAAAATAAATCTGTTCTTCTGTTGATCTATTGTCAGTTAATCTGCAAGCCCTAGCTACTAAACCAAAGAGAGTAGAGGAAAAGTTTCTTCTCCTTTACAGTGTCCTCACCACTCGCTCTAAAGAAAGGTCCAAGTCCTAAGCTCTGGTACCTACAAATATGACCTTACTTGGGAATGGGCTTTTTATAGATGTAATTATGCAAAGGAACTCAAGATTACATCATGCTAGATTAACCAGGTGTACCCTAAATCCAATGACAGGTTCTTTTAAGGGAAAAGAAGCAGAAACAGATACACAGAGAGATACAAGCAGAAGGTGATATGACCCTAGATGCAGAGATTAAGGTGATTCTGCTACAAGCCAAGGAACCCCAGGGATTGTCTGCAACCACAGAGGTCTGGAACAAATTCTCCCTAAGAGCCTCCAGAAGAAACCAACTCTGCTGACACCTTGATCTCAGACTTCCAGCCTCCAGGACAGTGAGAGAATAAAACTCTATTTTTTTTAAGCCACCAAGTTTGTAGTCATTTATTACAGCAGTCACATGTGTTGTGGTGACAACACATGTGTTGTGGCGAGAAAAAAAAAAATTGGTGATGCAGCACAGGTCAAACTTGCTCTAGGTTTTAAGGGAGAGAAAGAACAGAACCTCACTGTTGCTAGTTCAGGCCCTGTTAGGAGAGCAGATGCATTAGGGCCTGAAGAGTCTGTCCGCAATTGGAGCATGATACCATATACCAGGTACCAAATACGTAAAGTGGGTACCAAATCCAGTGACCAGAAGGAGGAAACTCCAACAGAACCACCAAAAAAAGTACACGTTTGATTAGATCCAGGGCAGGCGTCAGCAAGCTTTCTCTGCAAAGGGCCAGATAATAAATATTTTCAGCTTTGTGAGCCATCCTGTCTCTGTCACAACTATTCAACCCTACTACCATAAACTCTGCCACAGACAATTGGTAAATAAATAGATCCAACAGTGTTACAATAAAACTTCTTTAACACACACCTGGGTATACACAAAGGAAGTAAAAGCAGAGATTCAAACTGATACTTTCACATCTAAGTTCATAGCAGCATTATTCACAATAGCCAAGAGGTAGAAACATCCCAAGTGATCATCCACCAATTTATAGATAAGCAAAATATGATATACATACATACCATGGAATATATTATTCAGCCATTAAAAAAGAAGGAAAGCCTGAGACTTCCCTGGTGGTCCAGTGGTTAGGAATCCACCTTCCAATGCAGGGGACCCTTCCAATGCAGAGTTCGACCCCTGGTCAGGGAACTAACATCCCACAGGCCGTGGGGCAATGATGCCCCAGCTGGAGAGCCTACATGTCCTGACTACCAAGCCTGCATGCTCTAGAGCCCATGCACCATAACTAGAGAGGAACCCCACCTGCCACAACTATAGAAGCCTGTGCACCACGATGAAGACCCAGCACAGCCAATAAATAACAAAAAAAGAAGAAGAAGAAAGCAATCCTGTCACATACACAACACGGAGGAACCTTAAGGACAGGATGCTAAGTAAGCCAGACACAAAAGGACAAATACTGCATGATGTGACTTATGTGAGGGATCTAGAGGAACCAAAATCTCAGAAACAAAAGCAGCATGGTGGTTCCAGAGGGGAAAGGGAGGCGTGATTCAACGGATACAGAGCTTCAGGTTTGCAAGATGAAAAGGTTCTAGGAATCTGTTGCAAGACACAGTGCATACAGTTAACACTACTGCCCATACATTTTTAAAATGGTTAAGATGGTAAACTGTATGTTGTGTTTTTTCCATAATAAAAAAAAAAAACAAGTTATGATGCAAGGTAAGTTCTGGAGATCTAAGGTCTAACACTGTGACAATACTGGTGTTCTTGAAATTTGCTAAGAGGGTGGATCTTAGGTCTCCTCAGCACCAAAAATAATAATCATTTTAATTTTTAAAAAGATGGTAACTATGTGAGGTGATGGATATGTTAATTAGCTTGATTGTAGTGATTCTTTCATAATGTGCATCCAATCATTGTTTACGTCTTAAATGCACACAATGTTTAATTATCAATTATACCTCAATTTGAGACTTCCATTGGAAGGACTGATGTTGAAGCTGAAGCTCCAATATTTTGGCCACCTGATGCGAAGACTGACTCATTGGAAAAGACCCTGATGCTGGGAAATATTGAAGGCAGGAGGAGAAGGGGGCGACAGAGGATGAGATGGTTGGATGGCATCACTGACTCGATGGACATAAGTTTGGGCAAGCTCTGGGAGTTGGTGATGGACAGGGAGGCCTGGCGTGCTACAGTCCACGGGGTCGCAAAGAGTCGGACACGACTGAGTGACTGAACTGAACTGAAGGTGGTGCTAGTGGTAAAGAACACATCTGCCAATGCAGGCCACATCAGAGTTTGGGTTTGATCCCTGGATGGGGAAGATCCCCTGCAGGAGGGCATGGCAACCCCATTCTAGTATTCTTGCCTGGAGAATCCCATGGACAGAGGAGCCTGGCGGGCTATAGTCCATGGAGTAGCAAAGAATCGGACATGACTGAACCAACTTAGCATGCATGTGTGACCCTAAAAAGCCTCCAAACTATGTCGTTTCCACTCCGCTGTGTACCTAAGGGGGCCTGTCTAATACAGTGTGAAGGCTTATAGTTTGGGAGCCGGTGAACATTCATTTCCGGGCCCTCAGATGGTTGGCTTCTGCTCTCTGGGCCCCAGTGTGATCAGATGATTCTCATTTGCTGGTTACAAGATGCTCTGCACCCGAAAAACACATAGCCGCCAACGAGCCCTCAAGAGATTCCTGCATACTGACAGCCGCCACCATCCTCAGGCACAAACCCAGAGGAATAAACATCCTAGTTGGAAGAGACATGAAATGCAAACCTCGAAGTCATAATTCAACGTCTAAGGACTCACAAACCGGTTCAGGTTTATTAGACGGCTAATAAAAATAAATCATGGTCATGTTTTTAAAATGACTTCCCGTGTGTTGTGGTTACTTCTCAGGCACACTGTAAATTCGCTGGGAAGGGCTACTTCCTGCTGGGACTTTTTTTTTCTCCCTCAAATATAAAGGGTTATAAGGCTAAAGAATGCAGACGCGCATCATGTCTGCAGAAATCATTAAAAAAGATCAAATGTAATATGTTCTTTCAACATGGACAACAGGCTTTGAGATTTTCCATTCAGGCAGCCTCGAACACCGCCTCCAGCGTTTGCCAATTACTCCTGACAAATACCATTTGGGCCTGAGTGATGCTGTAAGTGAAATAAAACAGTGGGAGGAAAAAAAAAAAAACACAGAGCATGATAAAAGGCATTTTTTTTGGTCTGCTGAGAACTTACTGTAAGTTATCCATTCACGGGGGAAGGTCTTGCTTCCTGCCAGGGACGGCCCCATGCGATCCAGAGTTCTAAGGTGACTTTTGTTTGACAGTAATAAGAAGAGAAGACAAAACTCAGTTTTCAAGTCCCTTGAAAGGGAGTCCGCTCTTTTCTTCCCCTCAGAAAGGAAAATATGTCTATAAACAAAGGAAGGGATGGCAGGCACTGCTGCAACACCCATTCTGTACAACATGAGCTAATGGATGACAGCAATGCTGTGAAGTCAGCCTGGCTCGGATCTGAGTGTGGAGCATGTCAGAACCTGCAGGGCACCCAGGCCAGCATTTAGGGGGCAGCTGACTGGTCCTTCCCGCATCCTATCTCTCCCGAAATCTCCTCCACTTCTGAGGTCTTTCCGTTCCAGAACCCATGGGTGGCCTCCAACAAGGACCACATCCACCCCCATTACCACCACCGCCTTGGTCTTCAAGGTTCCAAGGAAACTCGACCCTGCAGTTGACCTCAGTGCTGAAGGGAATCAGAAAGTAACTCATGGAAATGACCAGAAAGAAGCTGGATGGGTGTGAAGGCTACCTGGAAGGGACTTTGCCCCTGCCCCGCTGGGCTGGGCTTTACCCGTGTATCAGAAGAACAGTGCCTGGTGGGGAAGAAATCCATTCACGCGTGGCACCCATCTGGTGCAGTGCTGGCCCCTAGGAAGCATGCACTCCCTGGAACTCCAAAGTTAAAGGCATATCCCGGTCTGAAAAATCCCCGGACTCTTCTAGTCCAAGCCCCACAACCCCAAGGCATCACAGCAGCTCAGTGAATTCACAAGCACACCGCTGCACTGGGATCTATTTTTCTCCCCCTGTGAACGCAAACTTCTGAAATGTAAGAAAGGGAGACTGGGGTTCCAAGGCTGATTGCCCAGCTGCCCCCAGCAAGGGGTGTGGGTGAGGAGCTGGGTGGCTTCTGTCAGGCCACCTCCCCTGGCACTTCACAGGTATTTGAGAACCTCCATCCCCCAAACTCAAAGGGGCAATACTGTGATAATCACGAGAATCTGGCCTCCGGGGTCCTCCCAGCAGAGTCCCCAGGCCCCGCCTCACTGTCTGTAGGTGAGTGACTCCAACGGCAGCCTCGTGTCAAGGGTGGGCATCCCCTGGCTGTGCCAAATATCTGCTGATGGTCAGGCCACTGGTCCAGGAGACTGGGAATTCGCTACCAAAATGGCCTGAAGTCTGCAGGCAGCCACACTTCTGTTTTTGTTATTTTTTTTAATGTATTTATTTATTTGGCTCTGCCAGGTACTGGGTTGTGTCATGCAGGATCTAGTTCCCTGACCAGGGATCGAACCCAGGGCCCCTGCATTGGGAACTCAGAGTCTTAACCACTGGACCCCCAACCACACTTTGAGGAAATGCTTCTCTAACTCTTAACAGGTCCAGGGCAGGGTCTGAGACTGAATTTCTCAAAAGCTCCTTGATGCTGTTGGTCTGCAGATCACCTTTTAAGGAGCAGGGTCCTAAGGCAAGCGACCCCAGTGAAAGATGCTGAAAGCATTTCTTTAGCTTCCTGAGGGACATTTTCAGTGGCAGAGGCCTCCCCCATAGATTCCTGCCAACGAGTAAACTATAAAAGATGATGGATTCCAACAGCTGCTCACTGCCAATATTTTGCTCCTACTAGTATCTGAGATGCTGCCTTCTAACCACAGGGACAGAATATTTCTTCTTCCATACAATTTCTGCTGATGGCTGTGTGCATATGAACCATGGCTCCCAAGCTGGGCTGCAGAGGGGCTCCCTGGCCTGAAGGATGAATCAGAACAGTCAAACGAAACAAAGCAGCGCTTGTTATCCCAACCTGAACACTGGGTGCAGGACTGGTTTCCCAAACAGCCAGCTACCTCTGGTAAGGAAACTCCAAACATCCACTGTCATCTGTAGCTTTCTCCACTCTTCCAATTAAGGGGGAAACCATCAATACCACAGTAAGGGCCTCCCCAGTTCATGCTAGCGTGCTCTAGGTGAAATGCCCCACCCACTCAAGACAAGGCCGAGCGTGTTAATCACTCAGTCTTGTTCGACTCTTTGTGACCCCATGGACCGCAGGCTCCTCTGTCCATGGGGATTCTCCAGGCAAGAATACAGGAGTGGGTTGCCATTCCCTTCTCCAAGGGATCTTCCCGACCCAGGGGTCGAACCCAGGTCTCCTGCATTGCAGGCGGATTCTTTACCATCAGAACCACCTGGGAAACACAAGGCTGGTATATGTATAAATAGCAAGAGGAGTGGAAGGGAAAGATGGAAAGGCAGAAACCATGACGACTGGAGCTCTCCTGGTCTGCAAGTTGGATTCGTCTTGATGGAAGGACAGGTCACGGATGCCCTGGGAAAGTCCAGCAAACCAAAGAGCTCATTTCCAATGAGGCATCCCCTCCCCCGCCGCACCCCACCTCCGCTGCGCAGTCACTAGGCGACGCTGTGCTGGGTCACGTCCCATGCCCGGCCTTGCAGGGGTCTGGAACCTGTCGGCCACCTGCAGACTCAGCAGTTCAAGGGCACCCTGGCGTTGTTTTCATTCCACTTTGAAGCTCTGTCCTCAGATCAAACGTGGGCCTGTAACAGCAGACGGGCAGCCCTCCCCTGCTCTGGGAGAATTTCCAGCTCTCCACCGAAGGGACCGCTTTCTAATTCAAGAAGCATCTGGCAGGAGAGGAGACACAGCAGTCACCCCCCCTTCCTTTGTGTGGGTGGTCAGTTTAAACTCCTTCAAAAGACCCTTGCTCTGTCTGCCAGCATGTCAGGACCTGTCTACCAGCCACCAGTGATGATGGAAATTAAAACCTGTGACCCGGTGCACGAAAGATTCTTTCCTTCTCAAAACAAGTCCCAAATATCGACCTTTGTTTATAGCCTGTCTGTTGGCAGAGACCGGGCAGCTCCTGTCTCTTATCATAGGCCCCTTCTCTCACCCCCACCTCGGAGGGCACCGCACCTGGCCAGGTCTCTTCTCTAGCGGCCCTCACCTTGAACTAAAGTTTATCTGCCTGTGTTTCTCACCCAAGGAGATCCAGGGGCCCACAAGAGAATATGAAGTCTGACTTTATCCCAGTAGCGGCGCACAGAGCACTTGTTTGCCTTGTCTGGATCCTACTAACATCTGAGGGGAGAAAAAAACACAAAAACAAACACTTGCCTGATTTCCACGGTAGCCTCCATGACCTGAGTCAGCATTGTAGTTGGGTGGGCCTAGTCTGCCATCTAGTGTTCAAAAATAGAAGTGTCTCAAGGTCATTGCAAAGTCCCCCAAAATCAGAGATCCGGTTCATGTTTTTCAGCCACCAACCACAACACTTGGAACCCTCACTGGTACAGCTTGTTTTTAAAGGAGAGGCGTGAAAAGAACTAAAAGCTACTGAGCACCTGTTCTGATCTGACCACCCTATTTAACCCTACTGACTGAATCGAATGCTAAAACGTTTGTGCTTTGGATCCATCTGTGCTCCACGTGGATTGGTCCTATATTTAAAAAATACTTAGGCAGCATAAACTTGTAGAGTGGTATAGCAGTTGGTATCCTCTGTCCTGCCTCCCCAGACTACTGCAATTATAGGTTTGAAAATCCAGAGTGTTCCAGCTGGGAGAAGTTGAAAGAGTTTGGCCCTGGAGCCAGGAGACTCCGAGAAGGAAGTTTGCTGAACGTCAAAGTCAACTGGGAACCCGAGGACCTCGGCACACTCCAGGCCAGTTCAATCAGACCCTCTGGAGCGGGACCCCAGCCTCCGCAGTATTGAAAGCTCAACACGTGAGAAGGCGGCGCCATCAGCAAGAAGGAGGGCTAGGAGGCCCCAGTATTTATCTCCTCATAAAAACAATAAACAACTGCAAGCCGCCTAGCTCAGGAAAGCTCTGGAGCACAATGACGAAGCAGCCAAAAGCCTGCAGAGCTCCAAACCTGAGGATGGTCATAAGGACAAGAACACGAAGTGTTTCATCTGCGTCACCCCACGCTCGAGTGCTCACCACACGCAGGGTGGGAGCACGGCGGCCCCGAGCCCTGCTCTCGGTCTCTGTACAGCCTTGTGCCACCGCATCCAGGTCAGCTTCTGGGTCCCAGGTCACACCTGACCACTCCCAGCCCTGCCCTGCCACCGCCCAGGGTCCCACACCTGGGCCCCAGATCGCCACTCTGAGCCATCACTGCTAAAACACGCTGTCCGTGCTCCCAGCCCTGCCCCTGGGGCCAAGGTCAGAGCTCTGAACTGTCCTGGCCAGAGGCCAACCGTCATCACCCTGAGCTCTGCTCCCTGGATCCTGCCACAAGGTTTTAACAGGCCACCACCAGGTAGGTGGCCCTACACGGCATGGTTTAGCAGAGGCATTACTTTGCCAACAAAGGGCCGTCTATTCAAAGCTATGGTTTTTCCAGTGGTCATGTATGGATGTGAGAGCTGGACTGTAAAGAAAGCTGAGCGCCGAAGAATTGATGCTTTTGAATTGTGGTATTGGAGAAGACTCTTGAGAGTCCCTTGGACTGCAAGGAGATCCAACCAGTCCATCCTAAGGGAGATCAGTCCTGAGTGTTCATTGGAAGGACTGATGTTGAAGCTGAAACTCCAATACTTTGGCCACCTGATGCAAAGAGCTGACTCATTTGAAAAGACCCTGATGCTGGGAAAGATTGGAGGTGGGAGGAGAAGAGGACGACAGAGGATGAGATGGTTGGATGGCAACACTGACTCAATGGCATGAGTTTGGGTGAACTCCGGGAGTTAGTCATGAACTGGGAGGCCTGGTGTGCTGCAGTCCACGGGGTCACAAAGAGTCAGACACAACTGAGTGACTGAACTGAACTGAACTAAACCAGGTAGGTGCTATCACCATCCTACGACTGCCCCCCAACTGGAGCCAAAGCTGGGACTCTGACCCCCCATCTGGAGGCTGGGCAGTGACTGCGCCCTGACCACTGTTGTACCTTGTCACTTCAGGACCTGAGCCTCTTCCACACCACCACACCCCCGCCAGAGTCACTGTGGTGAGACCCCAGAGACCCAGATTTGGGTCCACAGGTGGTCTGCACACATACCCACACCTTAGACACCAGCGCCTCTGCCTCAGCAAATGGCCCCAGGGCTCCAGGTCCACTCCAGGTCTGCCAGCACACCAGATCACAGCCAAGAGGGACCCTATTGGCTAGAAGTTCCTCCCAAGGGGAAAACAGAACAGAAGACCCCAGCAACCGTCACCTCCAAGGTACCCAAAAGCCTTCGTTGCCAGTGCTACCCAGAGGAGGACTTTTGCACAGAGGACTCCAGCCATCTGCACCTCTCTGACCTCAGCCGACAGAGCTGTAGAGGGACTGCTCTGCTGAGCCTTCTGAGAAGGACAGACGCTGCAGCCCACCAGGCTGGCACCTTGCAGCCACCTCTTGGTAAAAGTCTTATCCCACTAAAGGCAGTCCAAGAGGTGATGCGTGCATGCTAAGTCACTTCCGTCGTGTCCGACTCTGTACGACCCCATGGACTATAGCCTGCCAGGCTCCTCCGAAGGGTGAAGGCACCCTCAAATGCACAGACAGCAATGCAAAGCCATCAGAAACATGAAAAGGCAAGGAAACAAGGACACCAACAAAGGAACGTGATTTCCCAGTAACCGGTCCCAAAGAAATGGAGATCTGAGAGTGACCTAAAAAAGAATTCAAAAGAATTATGTTAGGAAGCTCAGCAAGATTTAGGAGAACACAATTTAATGAATTCAGAAAAACAATACATGAACAAAATAAAAGTTCACCAAACAGACAGATCATTTTTAAAAAGAAGTGTGTGTTAGTAGCTCAATCGCATCTGACTCTTTGCAACCCCATGGACTGTAGTCCACCAGGTTTCTGGAATTCTCCAGGCCAGAATACTGGAGTGGGTTGCCATTTCCTTTTCCAGGGGATCTTCCTGACCCAGGGATCGAACCCAGGTCTCCTGCACTGAAGGCAGATTCTTTACCATCTAAGTCACCAGGGAAGCCTTTTTTAAAAAAGAACCAAACAGAAACTCTGCAGCTGAAGAACACAAGTGAAACGAAAAAAATGCAACAGACAGCTTCAACAGGAGGCTCAATTAGGCAGAAGAAAAATATCCGTGTAGACAGATGAGAGAAAAATTCAATTGAAAAAAAATGAAGAAAACTTCTGTGAATCATGGGATGTTGTTGTTGTTTAGTCGCTCAGTCGTGTCCGACTCTTTTGTGACCCCATGGACTGTAGCCTGCCAGGGTCCTCTGTCCATGGGATTCTCTAGTCCAGAATACTGGAGTGGGTTGCCATTTCCTTCTCCAGGGGATCTTCCCGTACCAGGGATTGAACCCACATCTCCTGCATTGGCAGGCGGATTCTTTACCACTGAGCCCCCCGGGAAGCCTCTACGATGTGTTGGTTCTCAAGTCATCATGCTGTACACTTTAAATATATACAATTTATTTGTTGATTATTCATCAATAAAGTTAAAAAAAATAAAAGAGCTCCACATGGGATTCCCATGAATGACTGAGGCTTTGAACCACTGGTCCCTCCTTCACTATCTGAGGCTGGGAGGCTGGTCACCCAGGACACTGGATCCCAGAGATGGCCTGAGGACTGATGGTCTGTGCTGCCTGCCTCCAACACCTCTGTACTTGACCTGCTTCCTCAGGGCTTCCTGAATCCCCCTTTCCTCTTAATCAGTTTGGAGTCTCCGTTTGTGAAAAGGGCAAAGTTAGAACTACAATTATTTACTGTCCTAGTAACTGCTAATTACATGCTTTGCCTTCCTGGGTTTCAACCTACCTTCCGACTCAGCTGGTAAAGAATCCGCCTGCAATGCGGGAGACCTGGGTTCGATCCCTGGATTGGGAAGATCCCCTGGAGAAGGGAAAGGCTACCCACTCCAGTATTCTGGCC